TCTGACTTATAATCTCTCCTTTGAGTTGAGTTCATTTCCCCTGCTGGTTTACCTTTAAACCAGCACAACTGTCAACTCTCATCTTCTATAATCTCAAATAAGAAGGCTGAAAGAGAAACGGAATGGAAGCTTTCTTAAAGGCCAGCAGAGAGTACATGGAACCACAAGGTTTTCTGTTCCACTGGGTATCTTGCACACCCTTTTGAGTGAAAATGAACCACATGAATGGAGCCTCACTTCTTCCATCTTCTACAATGTTGAGTACTACTCAGCAGTTTCATGAGGAACTTCATGGTAAATAAATGGATAAACAAGACTCCATTCTTATAATCAACCCCAAAAAATATTTTCAGGTCCCTTTACATAAAGAAGTGGCCACAACAAGAGAAGAACTACAGATTTTTTTTTGTAATTCTATGAAGATATTTAGGCCTTAGCACTGAGAAAATATGCTTTATTTTTACAGTATGGAAAAATGGCTTTGCTCTGATTATGGATAAGACATGTTCCAAAATTCTCCTACATAGTCCTACCACCATACATACCGGATACCTCACTATAGTTTGGGAATAAGCCATCATGAGCATCTCATATTTGGGAGTCACTGCCTAAGCAGATCCTCTACCACAGAATACTCTGGGATGGGTCTGCCTCAGTCTTTCCTGCTAAGGCAGTTATGCTCACCTGAAATAAATAGCAGATGAAGAACCAAGGTGTTCCCTAAAAACCTTGATATCCAGGATTTTTTCTAGCTTACTGAATATTTATTATACAGAAAAAAATGGTTCAAGCTCTTGTAACATGGTTCTCAGGACACAGAATTTCAAAGCTCCCCTTCCAAGCATGACAGAGGAGGCACTGAAATTTGGGTCTTAGAAGTCCAGGTTTTCTAATCTACTGTCTTTCTTGATATAAACTACCTCACCTCTGTGAGGCAAATTGCTCTTGTCAATCTAGTCCTTTGCTTCCAGATTTCCGGTGTTTATAGACACAAGCAAAATGTGAGCAATTCAAGTTAAAAAAACCAAACATTCTGTTCAACCCAAAATCAGTGATTTTGACTCATACATACCAATCAGAAATTTTTTTGTCTATCCATTAAGCCAAAAGGAAATAGAGGTGCTTTCAGAATTACTGGTTTCTTATGCATGCAAACCTTGGAGTCAAAGTACAGCACAGAGCCATCATAAATTACCGAAGTCAACTGTTTTAAATAGCATGAAGAGCCCAGGACTCTGCCTTGCTGAAGACCCAGTAAGTGAAAAATTATTTTGAAGTTGAAGTCTTCAAACCCAATTCACTCTGCCCTTTGCTTCTGATAGGCAAGTAAATGCAGATACACACAACATCCCCTGCCCCTTCAGAGCAAAGTCCAAGTACCAAAATTGCCTTCTGCAAACACATACAGCAATGCTCTGCAAGAGGTTTGGGCATATAGTTTGTTGTCTACAGGTCAGCAACAGAGAGTTTCAGGGATCAGCTGTACACTTTGATCCTTTTGATGTGAAAACTTCTATGTAACAGTAGTCAGGAGAATTCTTGCAGGGCACTGCATTCTCCTTTTGTGAGCTTAGTCCTGAACAATGTATTTGTGCAATGACTCAGAGGAAGGCACTGCCTCTTGAATGTAAAGCCTGCACTAGACCAATGGTCTCCTCAATTCTACCCCTGACATCTGGGGCCATCCTCCAACGCTTTTTGGCACTGTGGCATTTGGAAGTTCAATAACCTTTGAGCGACTGGTTGAACATTCAGAGCTGGTAAAGGAAACAGCCAAACTTTCAATACACAAAGTCATTCTATAAAGGGAGCTCATAAGGGAGGGAACCAGCTACTGCAAGAGAATTCCAATAACAGAGGCTACCACAAAATTCCTGTTTAATATGAAAACAGCCATGCTGACAGAAGTAGACTGGGCATTGTACACTGGATTTATTCTGGGCCTGCATTTTGTCAGTCTCAGAAGTAGCCCAGTGTGACAGGATGCTGAAATCACTGAGTTAAAATCAGGCAAGTCACACCTCTCACACTGCTCAGTGTGTGCATAGGAACAGCCACATGGAGTCAGACTAGAAGCCTGGCCAATCCATTACACTTTCTCCAATAGCATACATATAGGTAGAGTACAATAGTATTATTAGCCCTTTTTATAAAATAAACCCTTCTGCTGCAATGCTTAAAATTATCTAACTCAATATTGAAGCAATATTGCACAGCCGTTTTCGATCTTCCTCAGCTCTGGTCTACAGCTAGAAGGTCGAGCAGAGGCCAAATCTAAATTGAAGAGTCTTCTGATTGCTTAGCTTCCTCAGATGAACACAGAGAGGTAGGTGGGAGTCACAGCTCTGAGAGAGAAAAAGAGGGGAGAAGCTGGACCACAGATCATCCTGTCCTGGATTGCCACAAACACAATCACGAAACAAGCTGGTTTAGCTTCCCTGTGACCTGTCGGCTTTCACACTCCATCTGCCCTGTACTCAGATCCTTTGCTGAGTTATTTCAGCACATTAATTTGCCAGAAAACCTGACTAAAGATTTCCCCTTCTTAACTGACTTCACAGACTGAAATAGCTCAGTTAAGAATCTGTAAATGCCTCTGTCGGAGGAGTTCAGACTCCAGTGAAACTTCAACCAATTTGCTAACAGGGTATCAGCAAAGCACACTATACTCACAATAAAGCTGCCACTTCTAAACCAAGAAGTCAAACCACAACCAAGAGAAAAATAAGGAAGCCTTATGTATACAGCCCACACAGCAAGAGTCACTCAACAGAGTTATAAGTTACTTCATTATATTTTGTTCCCACACAGAACATTTCACGATATGCCTCCAAACAAATTTGGAGCAGCACAAATTTAACACAGTGTCTCCCATATCATACCTCTGGCAGCCTTAACTCTTGCCCTTGAAATCTGACCTAGCCTGTCCTGTGCCTGTTTATGAGTTAAGAGTTTGCATAAGACAACTGCTTACATTTTATCATCTTTCTACACAGTTGAAAAGAATACTAAAAAAACCCCTCAAATTAATTAACAGGAGCACTGAAATCACCTAGCTGCTTCAAGAACTAGAAGTGATGCTCTTATGTTTCTGAAGAGGAATTTCAAAACTAAAATACCTGGAGCCTCGGCATTTGGTCACATTGCAACTTGCCTTACTGGGTTTTAAAGCAACCAAATTTTGCCTCTGCGTTTAAGAAGGTATTATAGCAGAGAAACAGCAAAACACTATATGCCCTTGAACTTTAATTTAATTCACTTCTGAAATGCGACGTGGCACTACTGCAGCAATCAGCAGACGGTCTAACGTTATGTAAACAATTTCAAAAGCCAGATGGATATAGAATAGATTAAGTGCTAGTTTGGAAGAAGTTTGCAGCTCCAGTATGTAAGAAAGAACTACAAAATATACACAGATTTTTAGAAGCTGGATGTTTTAGGTTAGCACTAGCACATTTTTACAAGCAGCCTCTATACATCAAGTCATCTTATTGCCTCTGTTGACAGTAGACAACAAGGAGTCGACAGACATCAGAAATGTTAAGAGTCACCAAATGATTCTATAAGTAAGTTGTGAAGTTGTTCATTCCACCATGAAAACTTGTTAGTCCCATCTGCCAGGATACTAGGGACATAAACTGTGTATTACCCAGCATTTTTTACTCCTCTCGCAGCATAAAAAAGTTAATGTAAAAAGAAAATAATCACATTCTCCCTTCACACACACCCTTGCTCCTCACACACCAACTGCAAGGCGTAAGACCTAAAAAAAAGCCTTTAATAAATCAGTTTAAAAGTGACTGCCTAGCACTACATGTTATTTTTCAGTCAAATAATCAAGCTACATCATGAATTTTCACCAGTCTACTGCAAAACCCATGAAAGGTTTATAAAAATAATTATGTGCAAATAATTATATTAAATATGATTATCCATCATTAACCATCTTCCAACTGCAGGTCAACAAGTGCTAGTTTGTCATGAAGTGATCAGGTATCAAGTTCTGCTCTTTTTGCAGAGCTAGGCACTTCAGTGTGATATTTATGTCATGTGAGCTCCTGACTTCTGGCTGTCAGCACCAACATCGGATCATAGTTCACCTCCAGATACCTACAGATTGCTTTGATGAGCAGTTACATTCTTCAAAAAGGCAGAGCTCATTGACATAAAGCGCCTCGGTGGTGGTGTACTTCACCAGGAACCCAACCCTGTGCAGTTTCATTGAACTGAAAGCCACTTGTTCTTTAACTTTTATTAAGTTCACTTAGGTTGACCAAATGAGCTTCCCTAAAGTAAACAGGGTTATAAAATATCAGGATGATTCTATCTTTAGGTGCTCCATAGAAACAAATACTTAGTTCAACTAGAAAACTTTAAAAATGACTTTAGATACAAAAGTGTAACAATTATACTGCGCAATACATCTTTATATATCACTAAGCCCATGAAATTATAATTAAAAAAAAGTTTTTGCACCATCAAGAACAGCCACAAGTCCTGAACCTCCATTCTTTATGCATCCTTTATCAGAATAAACTGAAACTTGGGAATGCTTGGGATTCAAAATACCCTGAGCACATACTAGTGCAACACCACAAAGCATACATAATCCATCAGAAATGGGGAAGGGAGGGGGAAGGAAAAAATAGCAAGAATTCAGATGGTGCTTTATTATACAAGCATGAAAGTAAGTTCCTTTGGAAAATAACTTCTTGGGTGGACTTCTGGACCAGTGAGGTAGCCCAATGGGAGAGAAAAAAAGTGGAAGTGGAACTTGGTCCCCATGCGTGATACCTGCCAGACGGTCCCAGCCCGGGGCGAGGCCGGGGCCCGGCAGGCCGCCCCCCATACGGCGGGGGGCCCGACGCCGCCCGAGTGGGCCATAAAGTGCTGCAGCAGAACACGATCCAGACAAAAGCAATGTAAACAGGTGACTGATACCGGTCTCTTTGTCCGCACCGCGGCCCAGGTAAGGCGCGCGGAGCGGGGCCCCCGCGGGCTCAGGACGGCGCCACGGGGAAAGGCGGCGCCACCCGCACCATCGGGGGACAGGTGCCACGCAGAGGATTCGCTTTGCCGCCCGCCGCCGCGCCCCGCCAGCTCCGCCGGTCCACCACCGCTGCCCCGCACACGCGCATGGTGCTTGGGAACGTGGTGAGGCGCTGGGGGTGCCGCCTTCCAAAATCTCCTCCAGCGATCTACCGCCGAAGCCGGCTTATCCAGGCGGCCGCCGCCGGGGCTTGCCCGCTCTCTGTCCGCCTTTGCCGCCCGGCGGCTCCGGCGCCTCCCGCCGCCGCCTTCCTCCTCCTGCCCCGCCTGCCGGGGGTGGGGCCACGACGGCCGAGCCCGCTGGCCTAGCCCGCTCCCTTCTGCGCCGCCGCCGCCGCCTCCCGCCGCTTGCGCTTGCCGCCCGCCCGCCCCGGCCCGGCGCTTGCGTCGGCGGCCGGCGAGGCGCCGCTTGCCGCGCGGCGGCGGGTTGCCGCTCCCGAGGGCGAGTGGCGGGTCGTGGCGACGACAGCCGGCAGAGGAGTATCCGTAGACGTCCTTGCTGCGGAGGATGACCGGGGAGAACTCGTGCTTGAGGCTGCAGAGGAAGTTCCACAGCTCCGAGTCGGAGCTCATAAACTCAGTGGACTTGGGCATGAAGAGCTTGAGGGCGTCGCCCAGCGCCTTGGTGCCAGCGAAGGAGACCTGCCTGAGCGCGAAAATACACAACTTTTCTCACTTCCCCCTCCAGCCCCAGGCGGCGGCCGCCCGTATCGCCGCCAAAAGCTGCCGCCCTGCCAGCCGCCGGCCGACCGGGCTCCCGCCGCCGCCGCCGCGGCGGCTCCCCGCCCTCTAGCGGCTTCAAAAATCTTCCCCGGCTCCTACTCTGCCAGTTGCGCCCTGCTTCCACTACTGCGGGTTCATGGAGGCAGAGGAAACGGGGTGGCGGGGACAGACGCCCGAGAAGGCAGCGCGGACGCCCAGCCCCGATGGGCAGGCTCGGCCACGCCGGGCGCCGACCCGTGTGTTGAGCGACGATTCCGATGTCCTGCGCCCACGCCACAAAATGGCGCTTTGAAAGTCCCGGCGGGGCCTTCGGCGTCGCGGCCCGCCCCCCCCGCGCCGCCCGTTGGCCGTTCGAAACGCGTCTGAGCGGGACCGCGGCCCCGCCCCGTCGGGGGCGGTGGCCGCGGGCGCGCGGCCGGGGGGGCCCGGAGCTTTTGGGCCCCCGCAGCGTGAGTCCCGCGGGGCTCGGTCAGTTCGGACCCCCACGCGACGCCGAGCCCCGAACCCCCATCCCCAGTAAGGTGTTCCAGCTGGCGGCCCCTTCCCGCAGGGAAGGGCGTGACGGTCCCGCGTGGCGGGGTGAGCTCTGAGCCGTGTGCCGGCGTCGCGCCTCGCTTCGAGGGTGAGGATCCTCACAGGGAGGTCGACGAAGGTGGTTTGGTGACTGAAATATGTTTGAGTAAGGGTCTGGTTGGACACTTCGATGGGCAAGCTCCCCGGAGGAGGAGCCATGAATACACTGAGTGAAATGACAAAAATAGGTCAACAGACGTGATACAGTGAAGTTCTTTACATGATATTAAATACATCCATCCTGTTGCAGTGGGGTTTTTTAGCATGAACCTGTAGGCCGGTCAGTCAACAACATCATAAGTCACAGAATCACAGAACAGTGAAGGTTGGAAGGAACCTCTGGAGGTACCTGGTCCAACCTTCCTGCTCAAGCAGGGCCACCTAAAGCAGGTTATCCAGGATCATGTCTAAATGGCTTTTGAACATCTCCAAGGATGGAGATGACGACTGATAGGACTTGAGAAATCGGAATGAAGCTGCATCAGGGGAAGTTCAGATTTGACATCAAGAAAAAGTTCTCTGAGAGGGTAATTGGTCACTGGAACAGGCTCCGCAGCAAAACGATCACAGCACCAACCCTGTCAGAGTTCAAGGAACATCTCAGTTATAGTCTTTCTCATATGGTTTAGTTTTAGGTATTCCTGTGAGGAGCAGAGAGTTGGACTCTGATCTTTGTGGGTGCTTTCAATCTCTCTGGGCAACCTGTGCCAGGGCTCGGTCACCCTCACAGTAAAAAGGTGTTTCCTGATGTTTGGAAGGAACCTTCTGTGTTTCGGTTTGTGCCCATTGCCTCTGGTCCTGTCACTGGGCACCATGAGAAGAGCCCAGCTCTACTCTCTCTGCTCCCTCCCTTCAGGTACCTGTGTACACTGATGAGATTCCCCGAGCCTTCTCTTCTCCAGGCTGAACAGTCCCAGCTCGCTCAGCCTTTCCTCACAGGAGAGATACTCCAGCCTCTTCATCATCTTTGCGGTCCTTTGTTGGACTCTCTCCGGTGTGTCTATGTTTCTCTTGTACTGAGAAACCCAGAACTGGACTCCAGGTGTGGCCTCACCAGCACTGAATAAAGTGGAAAGATCACCTCCCTCAAGCTGCGAGCAATACTTTGCATAATGCAGCCCAGGATACTTTTCCCCTTCTTTGTGGCAAGGGCACATTGCTTGCTCATGTTCAACCTGGTGTCCACCAAGACCCCCAGGTCCTTTTCTCCCAAGCTGCTTTCTGTCAAGACTGAAATATTTACAGCATCAGTGGAATTGGCTTGATATCCCAACAAAGCATGTCCCAAATGAAGCAGTAAAAACTTGCACTGGTTGAGCCCTCTGAGAGTCACCACCTCTCTGAATCCACATCAGCATTTCTTCCTGCACAGCACTGCTACAATTGCACAATTTTGTCAGCTGTTGTGAAATCCCATGATCCTCTAGATCATGCTTTCCAATACTTCAGAGATTGCTGTCATAGGGAGAGTGTCCTGTTAGGTTCTTGGATTGTTGCAGTTAAACCAGAGCTCTTTCCAGCACCCAGAACAGCAAGGTGTCAGGAAGGACAGCGATGGTTTAACCTTTCACTACAAATCCTGATGGGGGTTTGATTAGACCCCTAACTAATTACTTTCTCTCAGCATTGGTAAAGGGTGAGGAATAACATTTTTCTTCATAGACAGTCTTTGTTCTGTAATTAATCTTTCAGTTTAGGATAGGGAAATCTTTTATTCTCAACTCATCAAGAACTTAAATTGGAATGTCTAGAAATCCAGTCAAGTAGGAGGCAGAAATTCTGCGTAAGAAATTATTCCTTACTGCCAGTGGAAATAATTAATTTTCTTCACAGTATAATTCAACCTGTGTTCATGGGAAACTCAAGAATATTAATCCAAATAACCATTTAGAGTGGATATTAACAAAGATATTTTAAATCTTCATGGGGACAATCTCGAAGTACAGCCATGTTCTAAATCAGCTTTATAAATGACCTATTTTTTAAAAGGAAACCTTTTCCAAAATGATGGTGTTAGTGCCATTTTTAATCAGATTCATTTCACAGCATACTGTGCTGTAAAGCACAGTCATGTAGCCAGATTGGTTTAACTGAGGGAGATGTCCTATGAAGCAGAGAATAAAAGCCCCGAGCTGAAAGCATTAGGGACAGGCATCTCTTGATCCAGCGATGCTGCTGTTAGTCACACTCTGGTGTATGAGGGTCGCAGCCACGAGGTCACCACAGCTTAGCAAGTGGCTCATCACTTGGACCACAAGAGCTGACCTGTGCTCACATTCTCAGTGGCAGGAGCTATCAAACTATCCAATTCAGCAGCTCACCTGACTAGAGGGCTCTCGTTAAACTGCAGAAATCCAGTTGCCCATTGGCCATAACCTTTTTTCCAGAAATCACAAACATTTCTGGCATATGACTCAAAAATCATGGAGACAGAGACGGGGATTTTTCAGCAAGCAGTAAATGAGTCACTATAACTATAAGTGAAAAGAGAGATCAGCACATTTTTGTCTTAATCAGAATTTATTCATTATTTGGATTTTTTTGCTTCCAGGATGGACAATACCATTTTAAGGCATGGGATATAATCTCACTTTTACAACTTCATTATGAGTTTTCTGCAGTGTAACACTCTCGTTTTAATACCCTACAAAGTCAACTCAAGAAAATCCACAGTAATTGGCTATCTTTTAGTAATTTCCAATAGCTCAGTACAGTAATAACGATGATAATAAAATTAATAATCCTTTGGAAGTGCATAGCTCTTCATTTCAATCATACTACATCTTATAAGCATTAATTATCACTCACAGTACTCATGAGTTATATAAGTAAATATTGCCTTTCCTTAATAGATGAATAAAATGAAAAAGTGGATCAAAATGGCTTGACTAAGATGTGTAAACTTGATTACTTAATTTTCTGTAGATCTTCTAACAATCATTGTTCTAAAAATACAGGAAATGTCTACATTGGAACAGAGAGGAGTAAAAAAAAACCCTGTAATCATTGCTCTCAATTATTTGTTGGAATTTCTTTTCTTTATAGAATTCTTGAGAATGACGAGTGAAGTAGCAATTGAGATATTGGTACATAAATTGCTACACAACAAGGACACTTTATTTTTTTTAAAAATTCCTTTCTAGTACCACAAAAACTCACAGGTAACTGACAATTATTTTAAATGCTAACAATCTTATGATCCCACCATTTTGAGTCCTGTTGATGAATCCTAAAATTCTGGATATTAAGTCGCACCACTTATGCTGCTGGGACTTTTCCTCCAGCATACTTATGCTCTTCTACCCAGATCAGCAAGAACAGGCTTACTGTCCAATGTCTTTTCCTAATATCTTTACCTCTGCTGTTGAGAGGTTGCATTAACTGGCAGCCTGCTTCAGTTAATTTGATTCCTAAATGTCTTTAGCATACTTTCAGGAAAGTTTGCATGGCAGTGCAAACATGATTCCACATCCATTAGCAACTAAACTTCAGATGTTACCCAATAGTCATCAGGTTCCTGTGTCTGAGAAGTGCTCAGACAAGCACTGGCAAAATTCCTGAAAATACTTTAGAAAACAGACAAAAGCAAATAATTTACAAGAATAGTTTCTCAAGCAGTTATTTGAGGAAAAAAAATGCAGAATCACTGTGTGTAGAAATCACAGCTGCAGTCAAAAAGGGAAATAGGGTGTTAGGAATCACTGTGGAAGGGATAGAAAGCAAAACAGAAGAGAGCATTCTGCTGAATGCAAGTCCATTGTGCCTCCAGGAATCTTGAATACCGTGCATTTCTAGCCTTACCATCTCTAAATGAATATAGCAATGATACAAAGAAGGGCAACTGGGATGAGTAAAAATATGGAACAGCTTCTCTATGAGAAGAGATTAAATAGGCTAAGACTCTTCAGCTTGAAAAAAACAGATGGCTGAGGATGAATATGATAAAGGTTTATAAAACTGTGATAGTACAAAGAAGGCAGATAAGAAATTATTATGTCTTAGTTTTCATAATCTAAGAATGACAGAGAAGCAGATGAAGCTATAAAGCAGAAAACTAAATGACCAAAAAGACATGCTTTTTTATTTTTTTTCTGATGAATCATAATTCCTCTGTGGAACTCATTTTCCAGCAAAGTTGTGGGTCCCAAAATGGAAAAATGTACCCTAGTACATTTACAGGCATTACAGAGCACACCATTCAAAATGATTAGACATGACTGGAAGAAAAAAATCCACCAATAACTGTTGCACATGAAAACCTTGGGCTCAGAAAGGGCATAAGCTGAGGGCTAGGAAAGGAAGGAAGAATATATCTAGGGAAGTAATTCTCAATGTTTGCAATATTCTCACATACTTTTCCTAACCTTCCTCTTCTGGCCTCTAACAGACACGGAAGCTGGACTAGGTGGACCCTGGAACTGGGCATCAAAGCTGGTTGTACTCTATGGACCTGTTAGAATACAGAAGAGGGCATCCACACCAATTAAATATAGTATTTCTCTCCCAGAGCTTTATTGTTTCATCAGCTTGCAGCAACTAAAGAATATATTCTTGACATAAAAAGT